CTGTGCCAGCCAGATTGTCCATACAATTGGCCAAGGAACAACAGCCCATCACAGAATCTTTGTAAGTGAGACCTTGACTTCGGTGTCCAACAGGAGATAGCGATGTACTGTTTAGTCAGCTGCTTTGGTACGTAGTGGGAAAGAAAACGACGTGAAAAAACAACTGGCCGGAATGCATTCCCACATATCTGCGATCGCTGAAAAAACTCTGTGCGAAGAAACATACCTGACGGGTGCATAACATCTCAGAGCCTGTCCGTCTGTTTGTCTGCCCGCTCGTCTGTCGGTTTGTCTGTCCGTCTGTCGGTCTGTCTGTCCGTCTGTATGTATGTACGTTTGTCTGTATGTACGTTTGTCTGTCAGCCTCCCTGACTGTCTCCCTGCCTGCCTGTGTGTCTCTGCATGTATTCATGTATGCTTGTTTGTTTACCTGTCTGTCTGCCTGCTTGCCTGCCTGCCTGCCTGCCCAGGACTGCCTCCACGTCTGGTTGTCGGTCTGTCGACTGGTCAGTCTGGGCATCCGTCTGTCCATCTGTCCATCTGACTGTATGCACCTATCAGTGAGTGATGAGAATATGATTGTCAGTTGGAGGGTGACATTCCTGGTTCTCTCTGTTCTGCTGTTTTGCATCCAGCCACTTGGCCATCTTACAATGTCTGTGGATTGTTCTATGAAGGGCATGTGCCACTCTGTTCTTTGTCAATTCTCTCCATCTCCTAGCCTGTATATGTCACTTTGTCTGTTCACCTCGCTGTCCGTGGATCTGTTCTCCTAATCATGCAAGAGCTCCTGTGGCTGGTCATTTAATGTCGCACATAGGGTCGTTGGGCAGTCACTTCATCAAAGCTAATGGGTTCACTTCACTGCTGTCTCGACAGTAACATGTTGCCTGGGTGTATCGTTAACGTCATACTCGCAGCACACCTCCCTGGGTGTATCTAGTCTTCATGGAGGCCACACACATTAATGAAAGTCAGAGTATAAGTAATAAGTATTCGCGGTGAGAAACAACATCAGCAACCCTCAGCTGAGGACATGCCCACTGGCTATCATGCCTGTAAGTGGGACCACTCACAAGGGTGGGAATAAAGCCAAAGCAGGCGAGTGGGAGGGGAAAGGACATGCCAACCTGTAACTGTTTCTGTAGTGCTGCAAAAAGCATATTCTTTTGTTTTTCTTTTCCTTTTTTTTTCTTTTCTTTTTCTTTTTTTGTGGTCCAATTGACCACGAATCAGATATTAAACTGATCAGAGCAGATACTACACTTGTTATCTTTGCCAAAAGGCCCAGAAAGGTGTAGAAATTTACAAAACACATATTCTAATTGGAAGTCCCAATTCTTGATTGCTGGAATCTGCACAACAGAGGGCCTGCAAATGCATTTTTCCAATCGGCAACACGTATCAAGTACTATAAAGTACCATCAACATTACTGACCCTGCAGTGGAGAGGGTATGATGCCGAAAATCCTTTTAACGGTTCAGCTGACTGGAACGGAGTGCAAAATTTTGATGCCCATCATAGAATCATAGTAATAATCATACCCTCAGGAGCTCTGCGGATTCCCGGCAGAGTGTTGATGAGACACGCGCTCTGTCTTTTGCAGCTTTAACTGCCAAGTTTTTTCTGCATGATCTACCGCCACCAGCAGAATCCTGTGATTTCATCTGATTCTTCTGCTTGAAGGGAATCTGTCTGAAGTTCACAGTACGTGCACCCACACACTGTCATTTTCTTTTGTTTTTTTTAAACGACAAAGGCCCCTTCTATTCTGCGGGGGCATCAGTACGATCGCTTATCACCAGCAAGCATGTTTATACAGAAGATAGTGGGGGAGAAAAGACAAGTCAAGAGGGTCGGCCTAACCCTTGTGGCACTAGCCGCCTAAGCAAGGGGTGGGTTGCTTCATCCCACCCCCAAACCGTTCCCTCTCACACACTGTCGTTTCCCGAGCAATGTTCTTTTTTGTTTTTCCCTTCTTCTTTATGGAGCTTGAGGTATCATTTTGGAACTGACTGGAACTGGGCCCAGGTAATTAAGAGACTTAATGCATCCCATGATTCTCATGATCTCATCCCATCAGGATTCAAGCTCAGGTCTGTTTCAGTGTGCGGCTCCCCACGAATGGATCGGAGCTGGTGTTTAAAAAAAAAAAAAAAAAAAAAAAAAAAAAAAAAAAAAAAAAAAAAAAAAAAAAGAAAAAAAAGAAAAGAAAAAAAAAAAAAAAAAAAAAAAAAAAAAAAAAAAAGAAAGAAAGAAAGAAAGAAAGAAAGCTCAGGTCTGTTTGTCAGCAGTTCAGCAGTGTAAACATTCAGCCACATCAACTCGGTACTTAGCTGAGCAATGTTAGCTTTTCAGTACGAGCCTTTTCCTCTCCTGTATGAGTGTGCTGTCATGTCGACAACAAAAAAAAAAGGATGACTGTGACAGATTGTTTTGTCGGACTCGTCCTGGTGTGTGTGTGTGTGTGTGTGGATGCACGAGAGAGAGAAAGGCAGAGGGCGTGTGTGCATGGGTGTGTGTGAGAAGAGTTATGTGCCTGAGAGAGAAAGCCAGCGCATGTGTATGTGTCTGTGCTAGAGAGAGAGAGAGAGAGAGAGAGAGAGAGAGAGAGAGAGAGAGAGAGAGAGAGAGAGAGAGAGAGAGAGAGAGAGAGAGTGTTACATGCTGAGCCTGCAACAGGCTGCACGGGCCATTTTTAGGCCCGAGTCGTTTTCAGCCCGAAAGCCTGAAAACAAGGGCCTACAGGCCCTGTGTCGTTTCAGCCTGAGAGCCTGAAAACAAGGGCCTACAGGCCCTGTGTCGTTTCAGCCTAAAACAGGGCCTTTCCGGCCCTGGGTCTTTTCAGCCTGAAACGGAGGGCCATTTTCAGGCCCTCATGAGGTCGACCTGCCCTGAAACTCAGGCACCAGACCAGGGCTTTAGCACAGGTCATTTTGGGGCTGTTTTCAAGACAACCCTTGGTTGAAACTGCGTCTTCAAAGTTATATCCTTCCCAAGGCATATAAGGTACTAAAATATTGTTTCCTAATGAAATCTCTCCACCCAGCGTAGATGATCCATCTGCCAATAATTGCCCTCCCTTTATATAGTCACCTTGTTTTACTAGAGCTTCAACGCCAGGGTCTGGCACGTTTTGGCATTGGCAAGAGCAGCCTCCTGGATGGGCCAGCACTGTATAGGACTGGCCCGCCCTGCAGGCTGCAGGTAGTTCCTAGGTACTTCCCAGGCACGTCACGTGCAGTTCAGGAGGCAGGAGGTAGTCTTCAGGATTCGGCAGCAGCACTCTGGAGGAGCGCTGCAGGAGTAGTAGTAGCGCTCACAATAGTCTTCAGCGCTGGGCGCTAGTAGCGTTAGCAGTAGTCTTCAGCGCTGGGTGCTAGTAGCGTTAGCAGTAGTCTTCAGCGCTGGCCGCTATTAGGAGCTAGAGTAGTACTAGAGAGAGAGAGATTGGGTGGAGGCCAGGGAGACTTACCTGCAGCGCCATAGCTCCAGCTTCGCCTTCGAGGTACCTGCAGCACGGCGCCATCTTCACAGGAGAGTACCTGGCACATGAGAGAGAGCGAGTTCTTCTTCTTCCTCTTCTCAGTCCACCATCTCCTTCTCACCCTCTCGCTACCTGACTTCACTGCATCAGCAGATTACGAGAGAGCGAGCTTGGTGACATTTGGATCCAGACTCGACATCGGGCTTCAGACATTTGACGAGGGATTATCTGGGACTTGTAACGAAGACTTGGTGTTGACGACATTCCCATCTTCCCCCTTCTTCTCGGTCTGCTCCCCTCGTCTTGTCTGTGTATGGACTGGACCTGGCGCATTCCTCCTGTGTGTAGCACCAGGCCCCTTCACACCTTGTGATAAGGATGATGTATGTTTGGTCTGTACTGCGACATTGATTGGACTAGTAATTGGTATTCTAGCATTCTGCTGCACTGTCTTGCACTACGTGAGAGAGGTCAGTCCCGGTCAGGTCAGGACTTGTATCTAAGTCTTCCACTGCGCTATAAAGCACCATTTTGTATGTATCAGGATGTACACTGCTTGTTGAGATTTCACCTGCACTGCATTGCCCATTCAGTCCTTTTCATCACATTGCGGATCCTCGGTTATTTATGTACATCACCCAACTGGGCATGTAACAGTTGGTATCCGAACACCGCACGTGAATCAGGACAACCTGATCTGACACGTGTGCAGGGACTAAGTAGCTGATTAGTCTTGATTGATTGATTAGAGCACACTAGTAAGCCCCCAAAATCACGATTTTGACCTCACTGCCGAAAATCAATTTTTTTTCTTTTTTTTAATTTTGTTTTCCTGCTATTTCTGTTGTGGAAAATCGCAATAGCGCAACACCTGAAATTTCCGTTTTCGTTTTTTTTTTTTTTTAATTCGAAATTTCGTTGCTGGAAATCCGGAATATCTTTTTTTTTGAAAATTTCGATTTCCTTTTGCAATTTCCCGCTATGTGGAAATCCGGAATTTTTTATTTTTTTTTATCTCTGAAAATTGTTTTCGAGATTTAAAAACGGTACGGGAAATCCCTCTTGCAGTTATCATTTTCCAAACTGCGCGTACTCTCATCTGAGTAATTCCGAATATTTGTTTGTATTTCATTTTCGGAATTCTTATCAACACTCGTTTGCAGTCTGAAAGTTCGAAATTTTTTCCTCATTCGCACTTTAGGGGGAATTGGGAGGCCTACTGAACTTACAAACGAGTATTTCTTCTTTGTCTCAAATTTTTTTTTGCAAAGTTCAAACTTTTCTTTTTTGATTCCTATGTTGTTCCCCCCTCTGGTCTTATCTTCTCTATCTGTCTCCGGGTACCCCCTGCGGCGGCATTGGTGAGTTACCAAGTCAGCAGACCACATCAGCAAGCCATGTCAGTAGACCACGTCAGCAGACCACGTCAGCAGGCCACGTCAGTAGGCCCCCAGCCTGGTCTATGATCACGCGCTCGCAAACAGCCGTCATGTACTAGATGTACGGGGAAACGGACGAGGCCTATCAGGCCCGGATGCTGCTTCTGATTACCGAAGCAAAGCAATGGTCGGATGTAGTAGTAGCCGCAACAAAGAAGAGGCGGAGGACGCCGAGAAGGCACGACTGTTGACAATCGAACAGCAGCGCCAGCAAGATGAGGCAGCAGCAAAGGCTGCCGATGAAGAACGAATTCAACGACGCGAGAAGATATTCAACGAAGAGCGAGCTTTGCTCACAATGGCAGTGGACTGGGGGGCCAAGATCGCTCTACTCCTCTCCCATCTCACGGACCTCCTGGTGACATGCATTGCACAGCAGGAGGACATCCACAACCTCGACGACGCGGTTCAGACGCACAATCAGATGTTTGACCAAGTCAACAGCCGCCTCCAGGAGTTGGAACAAACCGTCGCCGCCCTCGTTTCCAACTCCTCCAACACCTCCAATCGCCTCGAGGCATTGGAGATTGACGTCGGGTCCCTCAAGGACGGCGTGCAGTTACAACAAACCGCAACGCAACAGTTGGAGCAGCGGATCTGTACTTCCGCCACCCACTCGAGATTGGAACCGCGCGAGACAACTCCAAAGTTCGATGGGCAGGAGATCTTCTGCGACTCGACGAAGACGGACCCGATTCCATGGTTCCACAAGTTTGATCTCAAGTTGCAGCTCCACCACGTCAGTGAACACAAGCATCACTTGTACTTATACTCCCGGTCAGGGGGCGCGTGCCAAGCATGGTTTGACAATCTCTTGTCCAAGTACGGAGTGGTAGCTGCCGACTTGTACACCAAGATCAGTTGGGATGATCTCAAGGCGGCATGGCATAAGCGGTTCCAAGTAGAGCCGCCAGAGATCAAGGCAATGGACAAGCTGATGACCTTCGAAAAAGGCACGCTGCCGAGTGTTGACTGGATTGCCAAGTACCAACGCTTGACATCCGTCCCAGTCATTCAAATGGGCTTCAAGGCCGTCAAACACTACTTCATCTTGAGGTAGTGTCCGGTGTTGGGCAATGCCTTGACTCACGTCAAGGACACCCTGACGACAACGGCGGAGCTCTTCGACAAGGCAGCGCAGATTATTGTCACGAACAAGGAGGCCAAGAACCTCAATCGTTCATCTGCGACAGGCCCGAGTAGAGATCAGCATCGGCCGAAAGTGGTCGTGGTCGTGGTCGCGGCGGCAACGCCAACCGACCAATCTAGCGAGGCGGTCTCTGCCAATGAAGGGGACCGACTCGCAGCCCCCCGAGATGGTGGCCGCCCCGGCAAAGGCCGAGGACGCGGCAAGACGAAGACAAACACCGCATCTATCCCCGGGCCCGGCACAACACTACAGTCTCTACGAACACGCGTACAATGCATGCACGAGATTCCGCTATTGTCTGTGGTGTAACAGCAATCTCGACGACACAGTGGGCTGCCCGTTGAAAGGCAAGGGCAAATCGGGAAATTAAGCACCGCCGGGAGTAAGTCGACGACACTCTCGACGTCTTCGGAACCGGTCGCTTCGCGGGTGACCACCCCTTGTTCCAAGGCACATGCGGAAGTTGATAGTCCTCCTCTACTATATTGTTATGAGGACTATGCTGCGCTGCTCGTTCCTACGCTGAGTACTCATGCTCGAGGACAAGACGTGCGTGCGACATCTTCTCCGTCCGGCAGGGTGACTTATCGTCTTCAAGTGGTTCTTCACGGGATTTGGCGCGGGAGTTCAACATAGAGGTATTGGACCCTCTCCCATCCGAGGATTTCGCACAGCTTCCTCTCCCGACCACGGGCTGCTTGCCGAGACTGCAATGCGCAGCATTATGTGCTCATCTTCACACCTATCTATCCTTCTATGCACCACCAACTTCGTCGACGAATGACGAAGCTGCAGTGGGGGACATCCTTGCGTATGTTACCAAGGTGGCCTGGGAGTTTCGCAAGCAGCGGTACGATGACAACAACGCACCGCTCTTCTATGTCCGCATCCAAGTTGGGCAAGCGTCCTGCAGCGCTTTGCTGGATAGCGGCGCGTCTCGCAATTTCATGAGCCAAGCCCTTAGGAAAATGGATGGCGTTGGCACACAAGTTCAAAGGAAGACAAACCCGACGACGATCAAGTTGGCGAACGGAAGGACGCAACAACTTGTCGACCGCTACATCGAGGTCGTACCGGTGTATTTCGCACCTCATGCATGCGAACCGGTGACGTTCGACATTTTGGACACGGACTTCGACATTATTTTGGGAATGCCTTGGCTTGCAAGTGCGGATCACACGGTCAACTTCCACTGACGGACTCTTACCGTCCGCGACGCTTTCGGTGCCGAAGTGTCGTGAACTATTCCTCTTCCGCACCCTTCGATCTGATGCCAAGTGGTGACGGCCAAGTCATTCCGGGCTACTTGCGCTTACGAGCAGACCGACGAGATAGGCCAATGTTTCCTACGGACTGTCGCGGTAGCCGACTCTTCACCCACAGACTTGTCTTCGGACCCCCGTGTGGTGCGGTTGCTTGACGAGTCCGCCGACATCTTCGAGTCACCTACCGGTGTGGTGTCGGATCGGTCGATCTCTCACGAGTTCATTCTGGAGGCCGGTGTCGTGTCACCGAAAGGTTGCATTTATCGCATGAGCGAGGAGGAGCTTACGGCCCTCCGCGCGCAACTCGATAACTTGTTGGACAAGGGTTGGATTCACCCTAGTAACTCCCCTTATGGAGCGCCACTTCTCTTCTTACGGAAGAAGAACAAGGATCTACGATTGTGCATTGACTACCGCAAGCTCAACTCGCAAACCGTCAAGAATGCATGGCCTCTTCCTCGTATTGACGATCTTCTTGAGCGATTGGGTGGCGCGAAGTATTTTTCTAAGTTGGATTTGAAGTCGGGATATCATCAAATTTCGATCCGGCCGAACGATCACTACAAATCCGCGTTCAAGATGCGGTACGGGCATTTTGAGTGGGTGGTCATGCCTTTTGGCCTCACCAATGCCCCAACGACCTTTCAAGCGGCAATGACCAACGAGTTTTGTGCGATGTTGGATCGGTTCGTGCTGGTCTACTTAAACGACATTCTCGTCTATAACCGGACATTGGAGGATCATCTTGAGCTGCTTGAGCACCTTCGATGAGTGTTGGAGACGCTCCGCCGCGCCAAGTACAAAGCCAATCGCGACAAGTGCGAATTTGTCCGGCAAGAGCTGGAATACTTGGGTCATTTTGTCACACCGGAGGGCATCAGTCCGTTGTCGGAGAAGATTCAAGCCATCCAAGAGTGGCCGGAGCTGCGGAACGTCACGGATGTTCGTTCGTTCCTTGGCCTTGCCGGCTACTACCAACGTTTCATCAAGGGATACTCGAAGATCGGGGCCCACTTGACCAAGCTTCAATCCGAGGACCGACCGTTTGACTTCAGAGAAGATGCGCGGAAATTATTTTTGGCTCTCAAAGCCACACTATTATCTGCGGAGCTCTTGCGGATTTACGACCTGCTCTTGCCAACGCGCGTCACTACGGGTGCGTCCGGCTATGGCATTGGAGTCGTCCTCGAACAACACGATGGCGTGGACTAGCACCTGGTCGAGTACTTTAACAAGAAAGTTCCCGACGTGCACTCCATTGATGATGCACGCAAGAAGGAGCTCCTAGCCTTCGTCCACCTGCTCAAGTGGTGGCGACACTTCCTCCTTTGTCGAAGTCAATTCCAATGGGTAACGGACAACAATCCGTTGGTCTTCTACAAGACCCAAGACACCGTCAATAACACCATCGCCCGTTGGATGGCTTTCATCGACCAATTCGACTTCTTTCCCGATCACATTCTCGGGACGTCTAAAAGTTTTGCGGATGTTCTTTCACGGCGTTCGGATCATTGTACCGCAGTCTATTCGACCTTCGAGATCGGCGATGACGTGCGGGACAGCTTCATCCGCCGCTACCAAAGTCGACCCCGAGTTTCGCTACAAGTACGCGAATTGCTCCTCTCCTAATCCGGCGCCTTCTCACTACCGGATCCAAGAGGGGTAATTGCTTGTCCACACGTGGGGGAAGGATCTTCTTTGCATACCGAGTGACTCTCACTTGCATACACGGCTTCTTGGCGAGTTTCACGATGCTCCCGCCACCAGACACTTTGGAGTCAATCGCACAATTGGCCGACTTCGTGAGCAATTTTGGTGACCCGGCCTTTTCGGCGACGTCACACACTATTGCGAGTCATGCGAGGTTTGGCGACGCTGCAAATCCCGCAACCATCATCCGTACGGTGAGTTGCGACCATGACCGGTCCCCTTGCGCCGAAGGGAAGCGATTGCCATGGACATCACCGGGCCTTTCCCCAAGCACAAGACCGGTGTGGATGGGATTCTCACGGTGGTCGACCGACTCACAAAGTTCACCACATTCTTGCCTAGCTGCTATCATGCCAAGGCACCGAAGTTGGCTGAAGTTCTTTACGCCGGTTGGATTCGAACCAAGGGTTACCACAAGGAAATCGTATGCGACCACGACACTCAGTGCATATCCCATTTTTGGTTAGCGCTCATCGAACGAAGGGGCTAATCTCTCAAGCCAAGTTCGGCTCCGATGGCCAAACGGAGAGGGCGCATCAGACCGCACAGGTTCTCCTTCACACTCTCATCCGTCCCGGCCAAAAGGATTGAGTTGAGCGGCTGCCGGATGTCGAGTTGGCATACAACTCGTCCATCCACCCGGCTATCGGGATGTCGCCCTTCGAGTTTAAGCACGGCTCGCCGGTCACTTCTCCGTTGGACACAATCATTCCACAAACGGCCGACAGCGACGACCATCTTCTTTCTTGCGTCAGATGCAAGAGCTACTTGTCAAGGCACGCAACCAGATGGCCAAGACGCAGCAATGCATGAGCTAACAGGCCAATCGTCAGCGTCTTCCTTGCCCATTCCGCGTCGACGATCTCGTTTGGGTTTCCGCCTCGGAGTTCAGCCTTGAACAAGATATCTCTCGCGAGCTCCTCCCGAAATGAATGGGCCCCTGGCCGATCGCGGCACCCGTTGGGGATGCACCCGAAGGACCTTCCTTCACCATTCAGGTGCCCACCCACTTGCCCGTCTACCCGGTCTTTCATTGCTCCAAGTTGGTTTTTTACACGCCAGCGGAACATGACGATTTTCCCGAACGAATATCGCAAGACCCACCCTCTATGGACGGTTTCCAAGAAGTCGGCGACATAATCTCCTAGCTACGCTACGGCAACAGGCCAACCGAGTACTTGGTACACTTTGCGTACTGCACTCACAAAGCTGACCGTTGGTGGACCCGTGCGGAACCCCAAGCAACAGCTCCAGATGTTCTCGCACACTATGAACGCAAGATGCAAGGCAAGCAGTATCTTCGACTCCACATCGCACCCGCGTCCAGGTTCTACCTTCAGATCGTCAGCTTCGCCCTCGACCCAGCTTGACTTCATAAGGAGGGGGGGGTGTTACATGCTGCACCTGCAACAGGCTGCACGGGCCATTTTCAGGCCTGTGTCGTTTTCAGCCCGAAAGTTTGAAAACAAGGGCCTACAGGCCCTGTGTCATTTCAGCCTAAAACAAGGCCTTTCCGGCCCTGAGTCTTTCCAGCCTTAAACGGAGGGCCATTTTCAGGCCCTCGTGAGATCGACCTGCCAGGAAACTCAGGCACCAGACCGGGGTTTTAGCACAGGCCATTTTGGGCCTGTTTTCAAGACAACCCTTGGTTGGTCTTCAACGCCAGGGTCTGGCACGTTTTGGCATTGGCAAGAGCAGCCTCCTGGACGGGCCAGCACTATATAGGACTGGCCCGCCCTGCAGGCTGCAGGTAGTTCCTAGGTACTTCCCAGACACTTCACGTGCAGTTCAGGAGGCCCTGAGGAGGCAGGAGGTAGTCTTCAGGATTCGGCAGCAGCACTCTGGAGGAGCGGTGCAGGAGTAGTAGTAGCGCTAGCAATAGTCTTCAGCGCTGGGCGCTAGTAGCGTTAGCAGCAGTCTTCAGCGTTGGGCACTAGTAGGAGCTAGAGTAGAACTAGAGGGA